GGACAGGAGGGGACATCCGAATTAGAGTTTCTGCTTCCACCGGCTAGGCGCTCTCAGAAATCATAAACACAAGGTCTACTTAAACATTTTTTTCAATAATCTAGCGCTGAGATATCCGCTAACCTTTGTAAATCACATCCATCACAAAATATAAATCCTCTGAACAGTAAATAAATAACAAACCATTAACTATAGTACAAACTATTATAATAACATAACAATAAACATCATGAAATAGTGAGAAGTAGGAAGTAATAAGTAAGAAGTAATAAGTATTTATTCGGTAACTGCGTGCTAAACAAGCAGGTTAACACATTAACCACATTACACCGCTACAGCAGCACGTTCGCCTCGAAGCCAGACTCGAGTTTATCATCGCGCGCGATTCGACGCGTAAAACCATCATGCCCACCGTACACACGCGAACTAATAATTACTACGTGCGAATTTAAACACCACCAGTGCCTATACATGACAAATAAGATTCGGATAACAGATCACTGTCGCTATACTGTATTAGACTGTCTAACGAGGGGTGTCACTTCCGGTGGCGGCCCTGGGTAAGCCAAAAGACTGTACACGTACATATACACGCCATGCACATATTAATTTACTACAACGCCATCCGGTACGGCCTTACAGCTACATACACATACTCAGCTATCAGCATAACAGGCCTACGCTACCATACAGCTAATAAACGCAGCATACAGAACAATAATACTATAAAGTAATCACACTATATGAATGGTCTCAGTGCTGACATAATTTCAAACCGCTGTACGCGTAACGTATTTACTCTTACAGCTCGAAGCTAGCAGACACCTTACATTCCCGTAGCATAAATCCTACATTATACATATCAGTACCTGCACTAGTAGTAGTACTGATAACCGTACGGCGCAACATACGAAGCACTGACATGACCACAAATCCCAGGGCGGATCCAGGGCTGAAGCTGACAGTATTTTTCCAGATTTTTAAGGAAGGCAAGTCCCACGGCCCCTATGGCCAAAAGGCGACCACCGCCAAAGTGGGCCGCCGTTAAGCGCGGGAGCACAGGCGGGGGGTCCTGGGGGTTTTCAGCGAATTTCAAATTGGCAAGGGCACAAAACATGAGTCAGGCTGCATTTAGTCAAGCAGCAATAGCTAAAAGAGCCACATAATGGAATTTATAGTCTGCTTATTTTCCTGCGTTGGCAGTAGCCAGCAATTCAATGCAGAATGATGTCAAGTGGCACTTCCCCCTCTTTTCAGATATCAAAGCTATTTTGTTACCATGTAAAAGTTTTGAATACTTCCTTCAAGTCTCGTGTCATATGAATCAGAAGAAAAAGAAAACAAATTAAAGAATATCTGCCCAAATTCTCATTCAACATTGGTTTCTGTATTTTTAAGCGCGCAAAATTCGAAGGCAGCTTTGAAACGTCTAGACCGTATTTCCCATACGGCAAATACCGGTCTCGAATCCGCCCTGAATCCCGACTACAATATATACTGCAAGTCAAGACTGCAAAAGACAAAACACAGCTTGCTTCGCGGTTTCATCCAACAGGCACTGCTTGAAGCGTTTCAATAAAATATAAATGCTAGACTTAAATACGGAAAACGAATTACTTAGTACAAAATTCTTAATGTTTTATACTCATAGCCAAGGTACTCCTTTCACTCTACGGTAGCACGGCCGATGGTGTTTCACAACCATTTGGCAGAATTACACGGCTGCCATTGCTTCCGGCGGCGCGACTGTTTGCACGCTTGCACTAATATAAGGCGCGTTACACACGGAGCACGTTTTTGGCGCGGCGAGCCTAATTCAGGCCCCGCTGACAAGATTTGGCTCGAGCCGAGCGTTCACACCGGACGTTTTCTTGCCCGTAGCGCTAATTTAGGCCGAGCCAGATTTGGACCCCCATCGAAAAACTGTCGGGACCGAGGCCCGAGAAATTTAGCACCAGCTGTTCGCGAGCGGGTTAGAGAGGTAGAATCGGTTTGAGAAGCAGTTAGAAAAGTAATAACTTTATAAGCAGTATAAAAATCCATAAACAGTATAAAAGTTTCCAACAACAGTATATAAAATTCGAAAAAATTTGATCATGGATGATCGTTGTTCAGGTTGATAATTAAAACTCGGAACGTAAGTAAACACTCTAAAAGTGAAATCAACAGCCATCTCGCGACGATATTGCAAAATGTTATCTTGTGAAGATATTGTGCAAATAGAATTTATTTGAATTTGAATTTGAATTTGACGAGCGTAACCAGTACTTCACTTGGCGTACGTTGTGATACGTCGCCGACTCAAAACGCGCCGAGCCAATATTTGGCCCGACAAAATCTAGCCATTTGGCTTCGAGCGCCATAATCGATTGGACACGTGTGAGACGCGACTATAGAGAGTGCTCTCTATATAGAGAGCACT